TTAGAGAAACCCTTTCAGAGGTTGATGGGTCTAAGCAGTGGGTATCCAGGCAAGAGAGACTTAAGAACCCAGACAGTCCAGTGGGGTACTTCCTTGGCTCAGGCCTTTTGCTTTAACTGCCTCACAGTAGCATCTGAAACACTGTAGGGAAAGACTTGAAAAGAGGACACTTCCTTATTCTTAGGGTGTAACAGGCTCACACATAACCTTCCTTTGTTAGTTTGCTTATTTTTGGTCATCAAGATGATTTAAGATAGGATCTCCTCTATAGTCTAGGGTGGCCTTGAACTCATATCTGTCCTCTTGCCTCAGCCTCTCAAATACTACAGCTACGGGTATTCCCTGCCATACCTCAGATCACCCCTAGAAATTGCCCTTTAAAGTGCCTTACACTATTGTGTTCACATGGATATACCATCCTCTTCAGTAACTTACTGCTCTGTTTGGGTAGCAGCCATGTATTCTTAACACAGATTAGCTTCAGAACAAAAAGGGAATTGCTGAACTTGCCAACATACATCTATAATCTCAGTACTTATGAAATGGAGGCAGGGAGATGAAGAGTTCAGAGCTATACCCCATTACTATAAAGGAAAGAAAAGAGGCTCTGAGCTACCTTGAAGTTTCTACTAGCAATCACCCAGAAGCTAATCCCCTCTCCTTGACCTCCCCAACACATACACCTTACAGTCTGTTCTCTGCCTTTTCCTTGACTCCTGCCGCCTTGCAGGAGCTGACATGGATGTGTGCCTTACAAACTATGGTCACTGTAACTACGTGTCCGGGAAACATGCCTGCATATTCTACGATGAGGTGAGGGCAGAGATGGGTGGGAGGGAGCTTTCCTAGCCTGTGGTCTTTCCCCAGCACTGGGTTCTGGACACGGGCAGAGGCAAGGGTAAAAGGCTTGGCATTCCACTATGGCAGCCTGCCTGTAGGAGTAAGCTATCGCTGCAACTGATGTTGCTCACAGAAACAGTTGAGGGGAAGCTACCTCAAAATGGGAAGGGACCAAAGCAGAAGGAAGCCAAGCTCTGTGTCCCTGAGCCTCATCATAACTATGTGCCAGTGACTATCAGATCAACAGGAGCCAGTGCTGAGACACAGAGAGGGGGAACGTGGAGTCATTAGGGCAGGCTTTCATAGAGGTGAGTCTTGGTGAACTCTGAAAGAGGCAGGCTATAACTGAGGAAGAGCATGAGCGCTTGCTAGGTAGAGCAGCAAGCCCTATGTCCTCCCAAGGCTTCACACAGCAACTACACATCATTATCTCCCCTCCTCAGAATACCAAACATTATGAGCTGTTAAACTACAGTGAGCATGGGACAACGGTGGACAATGTGCTGTATTCATGTGACTTCTCTGAGAAGACCCCGCCAACCCCCCCAAGCAGTATTGTTGCCAAAGTACAGAGTGTCATCAGTAAGTTGGAGCAGAGGCCTGTGGCCACACAGCTAAGGCCCCAGTCACCTTGGTCCTGCCATGCTGTCAATGACGTACAGTTACTTGCCTTCCCAGTCCCATTGGCCACGCTCACTGTTGGTGGGCCTGGGAAAAGCCACCAAGAATCAAGTGCTGAGCACCCACATGTGTATCAGACCCTTCTGGGGACTTGAGACTCCAGCCCCGTCTGAGCATCCCTCAGCCCTGATCATGTAGCATAGAATGGGGAGATGCAGGGGTCCAGTACTGCCAGTCATCCCAGACAGGTCAGCCGTTCACTGTTCCCCTCCTATGATCATGCCCCTTTTTCCCAGGGCGTCGCCGACAGCAGAAACAGGATGAAGAGCCAAGTGAGGAGGCAGCCATGATGAGTTCCCAGGCCCAGGGGCCACAGCGGAGACCCTGCAATTGCAAAGCCAGCAGCTCAAGCTTGATTGGGGGCAGTGGGGCCGGCTGGGAGGGCACAGCCTTACTACACCATGGCAGCTACATCAAGCTGGGCTGCCTACAATTTGTCTTCAGCATCACTGAGTTTGCGACCAAACAGCCCAAAGGCGATGCCAACCTGCTGCAGGATGGGGTCTTGGCGGAGAAACTATCTCTCAAGCCCCATCAGGTCCCTGTGCTGCGCTCCAACTCCGTTCCCTAGGCTACTGGCCTGGACGCCCACCCAAGACTCCTGCAATGCAAAAATGTACACGAACCGAGCCCGGGTGTTTTCTATACCAGAAACCCTTCAACTACAATCTTTGCATGAAATGAAGAAAACCTTTTGACTGTTTTTTAAGACTTTTTTCTTTTCTCAAGTTCTAGGGGGCATTTGCACATATATTTGTACTCAACATTTCATGGGAAAACGGCAGACCCGAGATGAGGAACAGCATGGGCAGGGAGGGGAGGCCCTGGTCTGGACACTTCCTCCAGCACAATCCCTTCCCTCGCCTCCTGCTCCTTCCCCCTCGACTGCCTGCCCGCTGTTGTAAAATAATCAGAAACTTGTTCTATTTTGTGGCAGTGACAATAGTTTTATATTAAAAGAAAAAATACAGTTTTCATACAGCAAAATCTATACAATATCATTGTTTTATTTAATATAAAGATCGCTACCCACTCCTTTCCATGGTTCCCACCCGGAATTTCCCTTTCTGCAGCGGTTGCACTACAGGTAGCTACTGTGTATATGGACAAATGAGAAATGATTCTTTTTCTGGCTGTCCATCTATTTTATTTCAAATAAGGAAAAGTGTATTTGGATTTTGTGTAAATACATCTAGTGATGGCATTTTTTCAATGTTTTTAAAAACTGTGTACAGTACATGTGGTAGAGTGTTTTTCTCAAATTGTCTATTGTAGCGAAGGCGTTTTTGTCGTAAACTTGTTCTGTGTCCTTTTTTGTTCTTACCACTTCTCTTCCTCCTCACCCCAGATACCTCCTCTTCCCCACAACTAGTACCAATGTACATAGTAATTGTAATGTTTTAGACTTTACAGAAACTTTCCTGTATTCTGTATATAAAAACCAAAAATACTTCAAATTATGTTTTCTGCCTGTCTGTCCTACCTGTCATCACGCTTAGAGGCGGGAAGTATCCTGGGACCTCACTTTTTGCACCCTTTGAACAAGTATCAATCTCAAGTAGTCTCCAAGGGAAGCCTGGTAGAGAAGGCAGATGTTAGAGAGATGAGCCTAAGCTCTGTGAGGGAAGAGGGAAGGAGTGCTTGCCTTATGAGGGCTGCTGTTTCTCTAGAGAGCCGAATACAGTACAATCTATGCTCTAGACCAGTGGTTCTCAACAGTGCTAATGTGTAACACTTTAATACATTCTGTCATGTTGTGACCCCCTACCATAAAACTATTTTGTTGCTACTTCATAACTTTAATTTTGCTACTGTTACAAATTGTAAATGTCTGACATGCAGGATATCTGAGATGCAACTCCTGTGAAGGGGTCCTTCAACTCGGTAAGGAGGTGACCCACGGGTTAAGGACTGCTGCGCTAGCCTGTGCTGTTGTTAGTGTAACTTGAATAACTTCTGCTGTTCTCATCAGGAAATACCCTCCTATGTTACCCTAATTCTAATTTCCTAGGCATCCTCAAAGCCAGACTCCCTGCTTTCTTCCTGGAGAAACAGTTCTTCCTAACAGTCCCCTAGAAAATGCCTGTGTTCTGACACTATTCTAACTGGAACCCATTCATACATTCAAGTCTGTTAGGGTTAGAAGATGAGGTTTACATCTACAACGTCTATAATTGTGTTCCAAGAACACAACTGGAGTATTAAATAGGGAGTTTCCTATTTATGGTCTCAGATTTCTGACTCTGGCTCCCAATACAGTCCCTGCCATTCTGCTTCCACTGCAGGAAGGACTTTTTGATTTTTCCAGACAGGGTTCCTCTGTGTAGCCCTGGCTGTCCTGGAACTCACTCTGTAGACCAGGCTAGCCTCGAACTCAGAAATCTGCCTGCCTCTGCCTCCCAAGGGCTGGGATTAAAGGCGTGAGCCACCACCGCCTGGCTGAGGAAGGACTTCTTAAACCTCTAAAGGCAGAAAGAAGCTCGGTGCTACCTCGTTATCCACACTGCTGGGCATGTCATAATTGTCGAACATCAGGTGTAAAGTCACTGTCCTAGGCAAGGTCCTGCCAGGAATGCCTGCACCCTAGCTGTCCCTGCCCATCTTACCCTCCATCACTGTTTCCCAGGTAATGGCGTGTCTACCTAGTCTTGCCACTAGTGAACTGTTCCAGAAACAAATTACCTCCTGACATTTTTACTACTTTCTTCCTTTTCGAAGGCAGGGAAAATGGAGTAGCAACCATATAATACTGTTTTGGAGGTTGAAGCAGGAGAATCTCAAGTTTAAGGCCAACATGGGCCTAGGGAAAAACACCTCAAAAAAGAAAAAGGAAAAAAACCCAAAAGGGGTGGGGGTCAGAGTCAGGAAATCACATAGTTGAATCCTGACAACCCTGTCAGTGCCATCATGAGAAGCCTTATGTCTCTGGCATGTAACGGGTTAGGGTTAGGGTTCTAGAAGCAGAGGGAGGGCTGGATTATAAAAGGATGAGGAAAGAGTCGCTTCATTGAGGGAAAGGCATCCAGGACCCGACTCCAAACACACGAGCCCATTCATGTACACAGGACTCCAGACTGAGAGACTGCTACATACTCACACCTAGAGTAAACAGAGATGTTCATTGAGTCACACGCGTTGGTGGGGACTACAGATGCATGCACAGTCTGGAGGGACTCCCGCAATGGGCACAGACACCTACGCAGTGCTCTCACGCCGGCGCCGGCCCAGAATCCAGAAGCACACCCAAACCCTGAGCGGAGATCTCAGGACCCTGGGCAGACACACACCCACCCGTCGCTCACGCAGAAGTTTCCGGTTCATACCCGAACACGCGTTCCGGGAGTTCACCGGCCTAGAGGGCGCTCCCAGGACTCCAAGGTGTTTCGCCTAGGCACGCCGCCAGGGCACGCAGGCTCACGCCTAGAGGGCGCTCGCAGGGCCCACGCGTGCGCGCACACCCCTGCCTGCCCAGCCTGCAGCCGCCCTCGCGAGGCCGAGGCGTGAGCGACGAGGCCCGGGCGGGAACCGGGAGCACTAACGGCATGGAGACGCTGCTGCTGGGCGCCGGGCTGCTGCTGGGCGCCTACGTTCTTGTCTACTACAACCTGGTGAAGGCCCCACCGTGCGGCGGCATCGGCAGCCTGCGGGGTCGCACGGCCGTGGTCACTGGTGAGTGCGCGCGGGCGGGCGGCGGGGAGGCCGGGCGAGTGACCGCGGCCCGACCGGCTGAGCTGGCTCCCGCCCGCCGCCCGCAGGCGCCAATAGCGGTATCGGGAAGATGACAGCGCTGGAGCTGGCGCGCCGGGGAGCGCGGGTGGTGCTGGCCTGCCGTAGCCGGGAGCGCGGGGAGGCGGCCGCCTTCGACCTCCGCCAGGTGAGACCCATAGGGGAACGCGGGACGCGGGTGAGCCCGGGACGTGGAGGGCGGAGCAGAGCGACGGGAGGAATCAGGATCTGAGAAGAGAGAGCCTCACAGTCCCTTAAACACGGAGGAAGATGCAAGGACTGCTGTGGTCCATAGTCTTGAGAGGTTAAAGAAACTGAAAGAGTTAATGAAAGCCAGATGTGGTCCCAGCACAGAGGTGGGAGTTCAAGGCCATTCTTGGCAAAGGCGACCGAGAAGGAAGGGTTAAGCTAATGACTAGACGCAGAAAGAACAGCAGGTGCGAATGAATGCCCTGAGACTAGAGAGTCTAATTGGAGAGACAGGGGGCGGGAGATGAAGCAAGGAATAAGAGGAGTGTCCTGAAGTGGTTCTGAGCCACAGCCAGCTTCTGGAAGCCCTCACAAATACCATCGAGTCGAAGACAGCTGAGCAGAGAAGACACTTCAGTAGGCTCTGGACCATCCCGATGGCTTTTTCAGATGAATTACTTAGAACTGTGTGGTGCCAAGACTGCAGAAAACAGGAGTAAGAGGGTCACATATCTTTAATCCTAGTACTTGAGAGACAGAGACAGGTAGATTTCTGTGAGTTTAAGACCGCCTTGGGCTACATCCTAAGACCCTGTCTCAAAAAAAAAAAAAAAGTGCTTAAGAGAAGACCACAGTCTCTTAGGAAAAGTTTATTACAGCTGGACATGGTGGTGCACACCTGTAATTCCAGTCCTGAAGAGGCTGAGGAAGGAGGATCATGAGTTCCAAAGCAGACTGAGCTACATAGTGAGATGCTGTCTACAACAGGTGAAAGGCTGTAATTCATTTTAAGGTAAATGATAATAAAGACGAGGGATGGTCATGGCAAATACCTGCACAGTGCTGACTGAGTATTTAACATATATTAACTCTAGCTTAGGAAGGCCTCGAACTGGTGATTCTTTTGTCTCAGACAAAAGGGTAGCTAGGATAACGAGTGTGTGCCACCACACCAGACATACATGTGTTGTATCTGATTTAATCCTCCCAGCTTTTTTTTTCCAGTAGAAAGTATTATTATTTTTGTTCTTATTATCATCTCATTTCACAGTAAAAGAACAGAGGCCCAAAAGATATTCAGTATCTTGTCTGAAGTCACACTCTAGTCAGAGGCAAAGTCAAGATTTGAGTCCACACACCCATTACATGCTGATACATAGAGGTGGGTTTTAGTCACAGTGGGTAGGCAGGCACTCAGAAGCCTGGGAAGAGGGAGGAGATACCGGTAACAATCCTAGCCCTTGCTGCTCCACAGGAAAGTGGAAACAATGAGGTCATCTTCATGGCCTTGGATTTGGCCAGTCTGGCCTCCGTGCAGGCCTTTGCCACGGCCTTCTTAAGCTCTGAGCCAAGACTGGACATCCTCATCCATAATGCAGGTGAGGTGCAGCAGGCCCTGTGGGAGGGTGGCTGGTAGCCGGGAGGGGTAGACCCTCCAGCAGACATATCTCACAAGTGGGGATTCTCAGACCCATGGGACACAACTCATGCCTAGCTTCTGCCCTAGGGATAAGTTCCTGTGGCCGGACTCGGGAACCCTTTAACCTGCTGTTGCGAGTGAACCATGTTGGCCCTTTTCTGCTGACACACTTGTTGCTACCCCGCCTGAGGTCATGTGCCCCCAGCCGTGTAGTAATTGTGTCATCAGCTGCCCACCGACGTGGTCGTCTTGACTTCACACGTCTGGACTGCCCAGTGGTGGGCTGGCAACAGGAGCTTCGGGCATATGCTGACAGCAAACTAGCCAATGTGCTGTTTGCCCGGGAGCTTGCCGCCCAGCTTGAGGGCACTGGTGTTACCTGCTATGCAGCCCACCCAGGTGAGGCCTGACTCTGACCACTCTTTGTTGCCTCTCTAGCATCTTTGTACCTTACTGTGCTCCCCACCCCACCCCAGTCTCCTATTGAGTCACGGGATGGAAACATGGTCAAGGAGAAACCTGTTCCTTACTGATCTTGGGGACAGACTTTCCTCATCTGCTTTCTTCCTTTCTCACCTGCACGCTTAGATGCTGACCACTGGCTGGGGGATAAATCAAGACCCTGATGGTAAAATAGAGGACTATGGCTGCAGTTGAGCGGTAGAACACAAGTCTTTGTATAGGCAAAATCCTGGAGTTTGTGCTGTTTACTTCCTTCCTTGGGTTTGGGATGCTTGTTTGGTAGGTTGGTTTGGTTTTGAGACAGGCTCTCACTATGTAGACTAGGCTGGCCTGAAGTTTGCTTTATAGACAAGACTGGCCTCTAGCTGGGCAGTGGTGGTGCACTTTAATCCCAGCACTTGGGAGGCAGAGGCAGGAAGATTTCTAAGTTCCAGGCCAGCCTGGTCTACAGAGTGAGTTCCAGGACAGCCAGAGCTACACAGAGAAACCCTGTCTTGAAAAACCAAAAAAAAAAAAAAAAAAAGACTGGCCTCAAACACTCAGACCTGCCTGCTTCTGCCTCCAGAATGCTGGGATCAAAGGTGTGGAACACCATTTCTGGCTTGGTTTAATTTATTCATGTGTATATGTGTGTGTATGTGTGTATGTTAGTTTTGTCTGCATGGATACTGGAGTGGGGGGGGAACCTGCAGAAGCCAGATCCTCTAGAACTGGAGTTACAGATGGCTGTGAGCTTCCCTTCCATGTAGGTGCTAAGAACAACCTAGATCCTCTACATGAGCAGCAAGTGCTCTTAACACTGAGCCATCATCTAGTGGTTTGTTAGGTTTTATTTTGTTGGGTTTTTTTTTGGGGGGGGGGCGGTTGTTTTGTTTTGAGACACAAGTTTCTGGAGCCCAGGTTGGCCTGGAATTCTATGTAGCTCAGTCAAACCTCAAATTCACCCCAGTCTTCTTCCCTCACACTTAGATTTCCAGTATAAGCTATCATGCCAAGCTGAGATTGGGTCTGATTCCCCGACACCACTGAAAAAAAAGTTACAATGGTGATGATGATCAGTAATATATCATCCAGTCAAGGAGGCATTTCTTTCTGCTACCTACTGTATATTAGACGTGATTTATGTGCTGGGTCAAAAGTAGTGAGATCACCTTGATCTGTAAGACCCTGTCTCTCTGAAAGAACACAAAACAAACACTGAAGACCTTGCCCTCATATCCCATGACAAGTGGCGATAAAATCAAGGAAGTGACACTAAGGAAAGATAAACAGGAAGAGAGGTATGGAGAGGTCTCAGACTTTGTCAGTGGCTATCAAGAAAAACACTTGGTAAGAATTGAACACAGATCTGAAAGAGATAAAGGGACCTTTGAAGCTCAGAAATCGAACAACAAGCACAGAGGCAGCTGTTCCTGATATGCTGCAGGCTGGCTGCTGTGCCTAGAACAGAGGAGAGATGGGCTGAGCTGGTGAATCATCTTTGTCCTTAGACAATAGGTTACAATAGGCAGGGTTTGCCTAGATCATCATACTAACATCTGAGAAAGGCGTTGCTTGGGGCTTCTTTTCAATCACAGTGGCAATAATGCTACTGACCTTTATTAAGCACTGGTTACAATTACAGATCCCTAGTGTTAAAAACAGTGGCTGATATACCATAGGTTCTTAAAAATGATGGCAAAACAAAGGAATGAGGTGCAAGATAGTAGGCACTGTGGCTTAGACTGGTAACCCCAGTGGGAAGCTGAGGCAGGAGTATTGCTGTGAGTTCCAGGTCAGACTGGACTTTTTTTTTTTTTTTAGGTTTTTCGAGACAGGGTTTCTCTGTATAGTCTTGGCTGTCCTGGAACTCACTCTGTAGACCAGGCTGGCCTCAAACTCAGAAATCCACCTGCCTCTGCCTCCCAAGTGCTGGGATTAAAGGCGTGCGCCACCACCGCCTGGCCATACTGGACTTACAGAGGAGTGAGACTCTTTCTCAAAAAGAAAGGAAGAGCCGGGTGATGGTGGCTCACACCTTTAATCCCAGCACTTGGGAGGCAGAGGCAGGCGGAATTCTGAGTTCAAG